TGCAGTCAATTCACCTAAACATGTTAACAAGCTAGAGACATGGCACAAAGCACCAATTATAGCTTGTCCCCTTCTACTGGGACAGCTATTTTATCACTTGCAGCTGCAGTCATTTGGGACAACCCGCTGTGTGCTGTCTCCCTTAGAGCCCTGTCTGCTTCCTCTGTGGGTACAGCCTGCTGTGTCAAAGCTGCCCGGCCCCACTCTCAGCCCAGCTGAGCATCAACAGCCTTTCAAATCCAGGCTGTTTCCAGTGGCCCCTGTGAAATCTACTGCTTTATCCTTCACATTAGCTTAGGAGGCTGAACTTCCGACCTGCTAGTGAGGTCTATGAGGCTTTTCCCTTGGCTGTAGCTAAAAATCTGCCTCTCAAGTGTCCCAGTCACTCCACTACAGGAGTGACAAATATTAGGTCACAAACGTCTAGGGGCCCTTGATCTCACCATTCTGTGAAGAGCTTCACAGTAAGCTTCATGTGATTAAAAGTACAATCTGCTACCAGCCCTCTTGAACTACCCACTCTAATTCAGACCACCTGTCAAGGGTTCTCCAGGAAGAAGATCACTGTAAATTTAAACGGAACAACCTCCACATTATCTCCTGTCTCGGCCTTCTTCCCCAGCCCCACAACAAGACTACAGCAAGATTCCTGAAATATCCTGTTTTGTCTTCCATAACTTGGGTATGTCTGTAGACCAAAATGCTAATTTCTTGTCCAAACATGGTTCTTCAGATTCTGATGCCAGCTGACCCTTCCAGAAAAGTGTCTGGTTCCAGGCCACAGTTAAGAGTTATTCCAGCAGTGCCAGGGCCACATGTGCCACAATATTTCTGTCTCCTCCTACGGGGTTGCCCCTGATACGCTGGAGCCACAGCTCCCCTCAGAGGCTTTCTCTGCCCTCAAGCCAAGGATGGGGTCCCAGCACCCACTCCTTTGGCACTCAGTCACAGGAGGGGAGCTCACAACACTGCCTAACACAGGCCCACTCCCTGCAACAAGTAGGCTGCATACTGATTATCTGAGGACGGTTTTGCTTATCTGTGATGGTGGATATCTGGAAATGTATGTATGGACCTTTTTTTTGGTTCATCAGTTTTTGTTGGTGTTTGTGTATTTAATGTGTGATCTAAAGCAACTTTTTTTTTGAGACAGAGTCTTTCTCTATTGCCTAGGCTAGAGTCCTGAGGCATCAGCCTAGCTCTTAGCAACCTCAAACTCCTGGGCTCAAGAGATCTTCTTGGCTCAGACTCCCAAGTAGCTGGGACTACAGGTGCCTGCCACAAGCCCGGCTAATTTTTTCTATTTTTAGTAGAGACAGGGTCTCACTTTTGCTCAGGCTGGTCTCAAACTCCTGATCTCAAGTAATCCTACCACTTTAGCTTCCCAGAGTGCTAGGATTATAGCACTCAGCCTCTAAGGTAACTCTTACTCTTCTAATTGGCAGCAGAGAAGAAAAAGACTGGACAGCTCCGTTTTAGATCTTTCCCATCCTTCTATGGCAGAGGGTCTCAACAGTGTGCAAATATGCTCCTCCGTCCGAATATATTTACAATGTCTAGTGACATTTTTGGGTTTGTGACCAAGGCTTGCTATTGGCACCTAGTGGGTAAGGCCACAGATACTGCCAAACATTCTACAGTGCACAAGACGGTTAGCTCTCACAACAAAGGACTATGCTGTCCCAAAAGTCAACAGTGCAAGGCTGAAAAACCTTGTATTAGAGCAACTAACCAGGAGCAGATGAACAGACTCCCTTCCATTGGTTATATCAGCAAATAGTGAAATACTTGACACAAGTGCTGAAGACAGGACAAAGACTTACTCAGGACTTAAATAATAGTAAATTGACATTATCAAAGGGAGTCACTTATGGGTGGTGCCTGTGGCTCAAAGGAGTAGGGCGCTGGACTTATATGCTGGAGGTGGTGGGTTCAAACCCAGCCCCGGCCAAAAACTGCAAAAAACAAAACAAACAAACAAAAAAAGGGAGTCACTTATTTCTCCCTTGGGCTCACTCAGTCTCAGTGGCTGCAGAACAGCAGGATATGCAATATAGACTTCTCTCCTCTGCCTCTCAACTACAAGGCAGCTGGCTAAAGGATGCAGATAGCACCCAAAATCTCAAAGCAGCTTACATGTGGTAAGCTGAGTCAAGAAAACCACAAGATGGCGAGTTGTGGCAGATCACTTGCGCTCAGGAGTTCGAGAGCAGCCTAACCCAGAGAGAGACCCTATCTCTACTAAAAATAGAAAAACTAGCCAGGCATTATGGTAGGCACCTGTGGTCTCAGTTACTTGGGAGATTGAGGCAGGAAAATATTTTAAGCCCAGGAGTTTGAGGCTACTGTGAATTATGATGCCATTGGACTCTACCCAGGGCGACAGAGTGCAATCTGTCTCCAAAAAAACAAAACTAAACTAAAAAAAACCAACAAGATGGGTGGTGCCTGTGGCTCAGTGGGTAGGGGGCCAGCTCCATATACAGAGGGTGGCAAGTTTGAACCTGGGCCAGGCCAGCTTAAACAGCAGTGACAACTGAAACAAACAATAGCCAGGCGTTGTGGTGGGCACCTGTAGTCCCAGCTACTCGGGAGGCTGAGGCAAGAGAATCTCGTAAGCCCCAGAGTTGGAGGTTGCTGTGAGCTGTGATGCCACAGCGCTCTACTGAGAGCAACAAAGTGAGATTCTGTCTTAAAAACAAACAAACAAACAACAAAACCCAACAAGACTGCTAACATAGCAAGCAGTCCTGAGCATCTGACTACCTGGCCCTGTGCTAACATGGGTGACACTAAGCAATCAAAATATGCCATCCTCAAGAAACTCCTACTCTAGTGGCGACACAGAGTGGTAAACAATCACTGATCTTCACTCTTGGTTAGGCTGATCTAACTCCTATTTCCCTTTAAAAATCCTTCTGGGAAGGGAGAAAACAATAAAGTAGAAAATAAAGCACTAGAACTACACTACTGATTAAAATCTATATTGCTATGGTAGCTCCTTTGAGACAGGATCAACTCCTCGGTTTGTACCAGCTGGGCTTGTGGAGCTTGTAAATAATTAAAAGGTAATTGGAAGGGAGACCAAAGTACTAAATGGATTTTTCTCTCTCAGGGTAGGCAGGGAGTTTCATAGCTGCCAGTCACATTATCTTTTAGGATTATATTCTTGTTTTTTACTGACACATACGGCTCCAGATAACAGTTGTAATAGTAAACTAATTAGGGCTGCTTAGACTGCTTTGAAAGGCCTGGAGATTGGTAAACCAAGACTCAAAACTTTTTACTGCCTTTTTATGCAAACCAGTAGTAATAGGTATGCTACCAAAAAAGCAAAAAGGCTTTGGGAGGTAAAGGAAGGGCAAAGAAATGGAAGGAGAGAAGAAGGGGTAAAGGGAGGAAAGGGGAGGGAAGGGGGAAGAGAGAGAGAGAAAGGGAGAGGGTGGAGAGAGGGGGTGAGTGGGGGACAGGGGAGAGGGAGAGAGATAAGTTAACTCAGAATATTTAACTGCTGGGGGCTGCCATTATAACTCAGCCTTGGATAAAGAGGAGGATTTCATTCCCAGGTCTCAACAAAGTTGCTGACACAGACATTAAGGGATGCATGATCAGACAGATATAAACAAGATCCTGGGGAGAAATTTGGTGAGAACAGCTCTCTCCTACCGCTTTGTCCTGAGGATGACGATGGTGAAGCCATATAGGTTGCTGAGGACCTTCTAGAGAGGCTAGGTTTCTGGCCATGCTTCTTGAGGGTTGTCCTGGTTGGTGAACCCATTGTTATGACAGGATATAAAGCCAGGAAGCTAAGTCACTGGGCTCAAGACTCAGTCATGCCACGGTCCACAGTGGAGATGGCTATAAGGGTGCATTATAAAGCACAGGCCATTGTACCCTACAGTTACTGCAGGAATATTCCAACCTAGCCAGCAAATGCAAAAATCAAAAGCCAAGGGATAAGAAAAAAAGAGTTGTCCCTTGGCGCGTTTAAACCCAGCCCCAACCAAAAATGGCAAAAAGAAAAAAAGAGCTGTCGGCTTGGCGCCTGTGGCTCAAGTGGCTAAGGAGCCAGCCATATACACCTAAGATGGCAGGTTCAAATCCAGCCCGGACCCACCAAACAACAATGCTGGCTGCAACCAAAAAATAGCCGGGCATTGTGGCGGGCACCTGTGGTCCCAGCTACTTGGGAGGCTGAGGCAGGAGACTTGCTTGAGCCCAGGAGTTGGAGGTTGCTATGAGCTGTGATGCCACAGCACTCTACCCAGGGGGACAGCTTAAGGCTCCGTCTCAAAAAAAAAAAAAAAGAGTTGTCCTTTCCTTTTTACGAATCACTTTAGACCCTCCCCCGAATTCCAGAGTGGGCTCTATTCTTTCACTTATCTTTCTCCATCTCTCTAAGACTAGATACACAAATAAAAGCCCCATATGCTAGTTTAAGTGAAGCTCAGGGCACCTATAAAGCTAAAATGAAAGTATGTTTGAGGGCGGTGCCCATAGCTCAGTGGGTAGGGCACCAGCCACATACACACAGGATAGAGGGTTCGAACTCGGCCCAGGCCAGCTAAACAACAATGACAATGGCAACAACAATAAAAAATATCCAGCATTGTGGCGGGCACCTATAGTTCCAGCTGCTTGGGAGGCTGAGGCAAGAGAATCGCTTAAGCCTAAGAGTTTGAGGTTGACACTAAAGGTGACATAGTAAGACTCTGTCTCAAAAAAAAAAGTAAGTATACATGAATCTGAAATGACTCCAGAGACCAGTTAATTAGAAGAAGAGAGATAAAGATAGGCAGGACAGAATGGGGATGATTGTTTCATCCATTTTTTGCCAAGGTCCCCTCTGCCCTCTTCAATCTGGCTGTTGATTACCTGGCTAACTCTAGAACCAATCAGCAGTAATTATTTTTCGTCCGAGGACAGCTAATAGGGACTAGCACAGAGTAGGCATCAATAATTATTCACCGAACTGAAATGATGGTAGATTGCACACTCACCCCTCTTCTGCATAAAGATGAAGAGGTCATCCAGGAATTCTTTCCTTTCAGGATCACCATCCAATTCATACAGCTGCAATCCCGATCCCCCAAGAAAAAAACACAATGAAAAATTCCATCTTGCTACAGGAAGTGTTACATCAGAGATACTACAATGATCTAAGTAATTACAGATGTGACTCACTGGCCCCTCCTGTCCTTATTCCTCGTGAATCAGACACAAACACTCACTGCAAAACTGCCCCTTTCCCTACCACAAAGGAAATATTACAGACCTTGGCAAAATCTCGAGAGATCTCTCTTCCTCGGCCTCCATCTGCATCATCACTCCAGGCCAAACCACCATTCTAAAAGGGAACAAAACATAAGGTTGGCAGGAAAACAGCAGGAGAAAAAGTGGTAGGAGGCAGGGCAATCATCTAGGGCAGTGGTTCTAAACCGTCCTAACGTCACGACCTTTTAATACAGTTCCTCATGTTGTGGTGACCCCAACCATAAAATTATTTTCACTGCTACTTCATAACTGTAATTTTGCTACTGTTATGAATTGTATAACATTAATACCTGATATGCAGGATGTATTTAGGCAACCCCTGGGAAAGGGTAGTTCGAACTGTAAAGGAGTTGTGACCCATAGGTTGAGAACGTCTGATCTAAGCGGAAGAGGAAGATTCTTAGCAATGCTGCTATCCTGGTTCACACTATAAAAGACTACTCAGGTGACCAGCTCTGCCACTCTTTTTTTTTTTTTTGCAGTTTTTGGCCGGGGCTGGGCTTGAACCCATCACCTTCAACATATGGGGTTAGCACCCTACTCCTTTGAGCCACAGGCGCTACCCACCTCTGCCACTCTTAAAGGGACACCTTCCTTTTTCCTTTTGATTATGGTTCCAAAATAAGAGGGAATCAGGTGGAAGATTTCACCTTGGAGAAAAATGGGTGTCATTTATCCTAGGTGATCCAGGAAGAGGAGGACACAAAGGCCCACGTTGCAGAGAATCTGCTCATCCCCAGGCTGATCTTCCAGAAACCATCACTGAGAAGCACCAATTTTCTTTTCTCTCTCTCTTTTTTTTTTTTTTAAAGAGAGAACCTCAAGCTGTCCTCCTGGGTAGAGTGCCGTGGCATCACAGCTCACAGCAACCTCCAACTCCTGGGCTCAAGGGAGTCTCCTATCTCCGCCTCCCAAGTAGCTGGGACAACAGGCACCTGCCACAATGCTCAGCTATTTTTTGGTTGCCAGATGTCATTGTCATTTGGTGGGCCTGGGCTGGATTCTAACCCGCCAGCTCAGGTGTATGTGGCTGGTGCCTTAAGCCACTTGAGCCACAGGCACCGAGCCTTCTTCTTTTTTTTGCAGTTTTTTACTTTTTATTTTTTTTGCCAGGGCCATGTTTGAACCCGCCACCTCCAGTATATGGAGCCAGTGACCTACTTCTTTGAGCCGCAGGCACCGCCCTCTTTTTTTTTTTTTTTTGAGACAGAGGTTTACTATGTCACTTTCAGTAGAGTGCTGGGACATCTTAGCTCACAGGAACCTCAAACTCTTGGGCTCAAGAAATTCTCTTGCCTCAGCCTCCCAAGTAGCTGGGACTACAGGCACCCACCACAATGCCCAGCTATTTTTTGTTGCAGTTGTCATTGTTGGTTAGCTGGCCCGGGCCAGGTTTGAACCCACCAACTTTGTTGTATGTGGCTGGTGCCATAACCACTGTGCTACTATGGGCGCCAAGCCTGAGAAGTACCAATTTTATGTAGGCTATAATGATCCCTAGCCTGGTTTTCCACACATCACTGTAAATGTGGGATAAAGGCCAAAGGGATCTCAGAGTTGTAGTCTCTCAGTTAAGTCTCACCATTAGAAGCCATAAGCCTAGAGTTAAGAGCTCCTTAGTAACATGAGGGCCACCACAGACTGAGATTGCTCCCCAGATGCACTGTGCCAGTAGGGTGAGAGATCATTTTCACTAAAGAAATAATGCAAACCTAAGCCTACTTTAAGTTATTAGGGTAAACCAGCAGCTTTCATGTGAATGAGAGGCAATGGAAAATGCCTTTGTGTATATTCTTTAAGTTGGCTTCCTACTTTTATTCAGATGGGCAACTCTTTTTTTTTTTTGACAGAGCCTCAAGCTATCCCCCTGGGTAGACTGCCATGGCATCACAGCTTACAGCAACCTCCAACTCCTGGGCTCAAGCGAGTCTCTTGCCTCAGCCTCCCAAGTAGCTGGGACTACAGGCGCCCGCCACAACGCCTGGCCATTTTTTTTGTTGCAGCCATCATTGTTGTTTGGCGGGTCTGGGCTGGGGATTTGAACCCGCCACCTTAGGTGTATGTGGCTGGCGCCTCAGCCGCTTGAGCCACAGGCGCCAAGCCCAGGTGGGCAGCTCTTATTCCTCCAATCAGGCATCTCTTCTGTGAGAAGCCCTCCCTTCACTCACAGCTGCAGTAAGCACTCTAGAAGCAATCTCTGTCCACTTCTAGCTCAGAATTTAACATATTACTTTGGAAAAATCTATCACTCCCCAAATATGATAAGCTCCTTGAGAGCAAAGGTATCTTTGTCCCCATTCAACACAGAGCCCATTGCCTGGCACATCAATTAAGCACCTCTCAAAAAAATATACAAATACACATACCCAAAGTCCCCATGCCGGTGGGGAGTATGACATCTTGTGTATGATTCCCTACTCATCCCTGACCCTCTGGTCAGTGGAGGACCCAGTGGATGGGATTGGATGCACTAAGTCTAGAACACTTATTTCTCCCTAGGACCATGGGCACGTGTACGTGCATACCACCCTGCTGGCTTGGGTGTGTATGTGGTGGGGGAGGACATATGAGGTAAGGGAGCAGAGGTTTCTTGGGAGAAAATTCTTTGGACTGCATGGGGATCTTGTTCTAAAACCATGCTAATGAGACAATGGCCTGGTAGAATTCCATTCTCTCCCACCTTCTCCTGTAATAAAGCAGGAGGCACTATTTAGTTAAATTTTCGGGGTCATCTTTTGCTTCCCTCACTCAAAGTGGGCTCTGAGATGCAGCAGCTCAGCACATACTGAGGGAAGTATAACCAACGAGAAGTGACACCCTATCAGCTAAAACTAAACAGGCTACACCAGACCGCTTCCCTGCTTATCTAGTTAAAGGCACTGTCTAAGGAAGTGCTCAGTAAATGCTATCTGACTGTGCACTCATCATCTCCCAAGACAGACACAGTTAGAAAGCTTCCTACAGCACTTTCAGTTCAGAGGAGCCAGTAACCAAGGAGGAACATTGTTTAAAAAAGAAAAAAAAGGCTAAAACTCACCCCACATTGTAATTACAGAAATCTGGTGTCATCTGGTGGCAACTAGCACAATGAATAATCAAGATGAATTATGCCTGTCAGGTCAGCAAAACCAGACAGAGTTACATTCCCCCTTTCAAAGGATTCAGTAGGTTGCCCTAATGCCCAGTGATTTTGTTTGAGCCAGTAATTCCTGCTGGAAAGTCAATTATCCTGGGAGCCTCTATCAGCTGAAAGACATTTAATAGGGGATCATTGCTGCTTCTGTTATGTCAGCTGTTTACCGCGGCAGCTCGATTCCCAACTCTCTCTGACCAGAGCTCTGAAGCTGATCGAGTTCACAGGAGGATTCTTTCTCTACCAGTCACCAAGAGAGATGAAAACACCACTGTTTTTTGCTAATTACAGTAACTTCCAGGCACTCTGAATGCTTACTCAAACCATTTAACACTCAGTTGGGTAGAGAAGACAGAATCCACAACCCAGAATCTCAGACAGGGCTGTCCACAGCAGGAGAGGAGTGTGAAAACAAGCATGCCAGTGTGACCACTATGTGACTATGTGTGAAAATAAACACCCAAGTGCAGAGAGCTCAGCTCCAGGAACAAAGAATGCCTTCGCTGGCTGGGGGCTGGGCTGGTCAGCTCCTCCAGGCTTTTCCACCCCAGTCCAGACTACAGGAAGGGATGGAGCAGCAGGGCAGTGAGACCTTGTACTAGCCAGAGCCCACTCCGTGTGACCCCCTTAGCTTGAAAGTCCTCCAGCTCAGTTACTACAGAGGATGAGGAGACAGTTAGAAACTGCCAGTAACACCATTAAAGAAAATATGGGGAAAACAGTTGCCCAGAGTGGGGGTGTCTTTTGTCCAATTCCAAGGAAACAATGGTCCACTACTTAATTTAAAATATTTAGCTGAGGCTGATGGAGAAATGTCCCATATGCATCACTTTCTTTTTCTTGAGGCAGCTAAACTTTGATCCCACCTCACAGGATTTTCTGGCTGAGGTGAGAATAGTTTCTAAGCGGCCTACCTTTCACAGTCTAGCAGGAATACCATTTCCTCCATGAGCCTCCTGCCTATGCCCAGAGAGCAGATTCAGAGCCTTCTGCTCTGGGCTGTCACCTCTGTTCTGGATACTTGTGCCTCTATATCCCCAGTCTGTAAGCATCCTCTCTGGGTATCCCCAGCCCCCAGAAAGTACTGACGCATCTACCAGAAGATAGAGATGGGCTCCCTTGTGGCCCCCACAACCCCAGAACTCCTGTCTTGCCCCTACTTCTACTGGGAGGGTCACAGGTGTACAGAGTTATTTTCTTGGTTCTTAACTCTGATCAACTACTGTAAACATGGCTCACTTACGCAATTCAATTTTATGTGCGGGAGATCTTGGTCTAGCAGCAGGGTGTGGCTGTGACTACTAGAAAGTTATGAGCCCAGAAATAATTTTTTCTTGGATGTTGGCTGTTGCTGAGACTATAGTGGTGGGAAAAGAGCACAGAATGGGAGAGGCAGATAAGAGTGTGGGGTGAACACACCCTAAAAGAGACAGATTAACATTTTATGGGTCAAGAGGGGTCAATGAGGAAGGCATTTCAGTTGAAGGGTGAAGGCTGCATGCAGGTCTAACCTGCTGGGGGAGCAGGCTGTGTACGCCATGGACAGTAGGCAGCAGTACTAAAGAGCCCTTGAATGTGTGTGGGAAGCCAACAGTAGCTGAAGAGGTCACTAGTGCCATTTACAGCCTTCTCAGCCTCCTCTACTTGAGAACTCTCTTTCAACATCTTTGATCTCACCAGGAGCTCACAGGAAACTGTCAGTTTGTTCCCAAATAACCACCAAAGACTAGCTTTGGCTGCTATACTCAGATTTAGCTTATTTTCCCCAGGGAAACCACAGAGTGTTTCGCCTTTAAATCCCTTAAAAACAGTAGTGAAAGAAGGTTGGGGGAACAGAGAGAGGGGTGCAGGACTGGACCAGGAGCCTCACCAGCATTTCCTCACTTCGTTCTATATTGCAGAGGTGGTTCTTTTAGAGATAGGAAAATACTGGCTCAGAG